CGAACCAAACCGTGAATTTATATAATTTATACCGTGATATGAATTTGAGGTCATACCGCCCAGCCCTAAGTTGAACCCAAACTCATGATCGAACTGCTCAAACCTCCAGTTCAAGCAAAAACCAACTGGTTTTGTTGTCATCTTAACTCTCTGAATGAACATCTGGTTCTTGCTTTGCGTACAGGAAGTACAAGTAGAAATGGTTTACAGAAACCTGTGGATAAGGAGATATTTTCAGTGCAGGAGTTAAAACAAACAGTAAAATATACCCTGTATCTTGTGGCAGAGATGCAGTTTTATGAAACTTTATTTTGTTGTAGACATTTATAGAAGATAATAAGTTGACTGTGGCTGTGCACTCMCACCCCTCCAGACTGAGCATGTTCCTCCGTATGATGTGGTTCCCTCTATGAGACCGGTGGTCCTGGTGGGACCATCCCTGAAAGGTTACGAGGTAGGACCTTCAACACTTCTGACTCGTGTTGTTTTTACTCAGACAGTTTTCCATCACCAATACAGCAGAGCACTTTTCTTCTTCAGTGTTTACAGACACGACAGTAAAAATCCAAAAAGCATGCTCATTGATTGTCATTTAGAAGTGCTGTTTAAACTGTGAAGGAGGTGGCAGCAGAGCTGGAGTCAGTCGTCATAGAAATATGCTCCTCGCCTCCCTTTCTGCTGTTGCTGTGGCAACAGGCTTCTTGGTAAATCGTATAAGTCTGAAAAATTGGAGCAAGGTTTGAAATTAGAAACAATAATGTGCCCCTTGTTAAAGTGTATCTTACCCCCCTTGTGAAAAGGTAACTCCGCCCCAAGGCAAAATTTGAAAAAATGCATCAAAGTGGGTAGGGGAGGGGGTGTGGGTAGGGGAAGGGGGGTTAGAGAGCGGAGGTGTGGCCAGGACGAGAGAAGTGACAGGCAGCTAGCATTAGCATAATTGATGCTACATGGAGAGTGACCACAGTATCGCAGAGAGTTACATCTCTGAACGGTCTGAGGTGGAGGATTTTCACCCCACACTTGAAACTTCTGTTCACCCAGTATGATGTTTGTCTCCAGCAGTGATTGTGTGAGAGGCGGGGCAAGACAGATCCCAGGTCCATCACAGGGACACAGACAAATAACCATTCCCACTCTAACCACCGTACTATAGATCCCGCGAGGGGACATGGGAGAAAAAAAAACAAATAACGAATACTGACTTTGGTTCTCAGGATCCTGAGAACCAAAGTCGGGATCCTGAGAANGTTTGTTTTTATTTTCATGAGGTTCTATTCCTAAATAGGTAGGGGAATTGAAAAAGGGAAAACCTGGGTACTCATGAGGATGAAACTGCGGTGTTTAGAGAAACACTTTGAGGATGAGTAGAGGCTGGCAGCTGAGCAGGAGATCTGTGGATGACGTCCAAATTTGTGCTGTGTGCTCCAGCCTCTCTCAGGTACCTGGACTGCAGCCACACCAACAGTTTCCATCAGATGGAGCTGCTGGGTTCTGGCCAGCAAGGTGATCAGTGATGCTAAACAACAGAGGACTCGACACCTCGAGTTGTTTTGCTAAAATGTGTGGCTCGATACAAAAGTGTTTCTGTCTGCAGCCGCAGCATCTTAAAGAGTAGCTCATTATCTTCTTCTTTATACACAAATAACTCATAAATCACCTGTTTTCTCTGTTATTTAGTTCAAAGAAATGATATAAACCAACAGTATATTTTGGTTTAGCTACTTTTTTTTTCTTTGTAATTCCTAAAATGTAGGGATGCACGATGTATCGGTATTGACATCGGTATCGGTCCGATATTGGTCATTTTTTAGAAAATCGTTATCAGTCCGATATGTAAAACAGGGCCGGTATTAATGTCCGATATTGATTTCCCACTTTTTATCTTTGTGTTTGTGTTTGTGTTTTGGGAGGGGAGACGGTTGGTTGAGCATCTGTTTGATCATGATAGTGATATTGATGCTGCGCTGTCAGGAATAACTGAAGTATAGAGCCATGTCAGAGGTCTGGTTGTTTATTTACTGTATCAAAAAAAGACCCAAGTGTGTTTGTGCGTATATGTATAATATAATTTGTGTGCTTGTGTAATATCGGTAAATATCGATTATCGRCCATAACACCAATAATTATATCGGATRTCGATATCGGCTGAAATTTTCATATCGCTSCATCCCTACTAAAATGACTTGCTTTTTGATGATCTGGTGGTTGTTTTGTGTTTTCCATTATTTGACCATTTTTGTCTTTTGTTGTGTGTCCTTGAYGCAGCAGTAAATCCAGTGCCAACTCCTCCTCTAGTCTGGGAGAAATGGTGTCSGGCACATTTAAACCAAACCCAAACTCTGCAGGTCAGTCACACAGTTACACCTGAAACACTGAAGTCTAATTTCATCTCTCTGGTTCTGGTTTGTCTCATACAGTTCAAACTTGCTGTCTTTTTGCACTTACTTAAATTTTCTTTTTTTTCCTCAGGAAAACAGAAACAGAAAGTGGTGAGTGTGTCATGTGTCTTGGTTAGTGTTTTCTGGTTCTTTGCAGGTAATMTTTTCTGTCTGTTTTGTTGTTTGGTGTTCTTGTGTTTTTTATTTCCTGTCTAGTCTCCTTGTGTTTCCTGTTCCATTTCCTCCACTTTATTCTCAGTCAACTTTTTACAGCCTACCACTCCACAGTCATCCTCTGTTTTATTAAATCAATTCACCACACTTACATTCCAGTTATCTGAAATTGTTTTATGACAGGACTATGTGCAGCTTAAACCCTTAAGG